TCCTTGTTCTTTTTTTTTTTTTTTTTTAAATTTCAGGTAGAGCGCTTATTTTTTTAAAGTGTAATATCTAGTATTCTGATTAAAAAAGAAAGTATAAGCTACAGTCTTCTTGTTTAATAACATAGGCAGAATAACTTAACAGTATGATGTAATCTCTTTAACAAGATAATTCTCATAATTTAAAAAATTGTATATTTTAAGAGCATAATTACATATGTGTTTACTCAAATAGTTACCCTGTTGTGAATCATTAAACAAAACCCTGACATACTACCTCTATCCACCAGGTAACCCATTAGTATATGTCCTGAGGTAGGATTTCAGGGTGCCTTTGACCACTTTCACAAGCAAGACATGTACTCATTAAAGTGGCTGCCATTTTTTAAGTGCTCATCTGCAGCGCACTATGTATGTGAAAACATTGATTTAAGCATATATTTTCATTGATTCGCTGTATTTGGAACATAGAGGTAAATATAGTCTATACTAAGCAGTAACTTGTGCCTCACTTTGCTTTAGGATATAATTTCATTTAGTTGTATTTGTTTAGATTCTTTAATATTATGCCAAATATTGTAGGTAAAATGGAAGCTATCATTGTATGCTCTCTGATCCTCCCACCTGTAGTAGCAATTGTACTGTAGTTGGTCTGTATATTAACCATCTTTTGTCTGTTTTTTTTTTTTAATGTTTCGGTTTTGTTTTTGTTTTTGTGGTACTGGGCCTCGAACTCAGGCCCTTGCGCTTGTAAGGCAGTCTGTGGAACCACTGAGCCAAATCAAAGATGAAGTCTAGTCGTGTTGCCTAGTCCCATATTTTCTTTGAATATTCTTACAAGAAAATCTCTGTATGTTGTTCATTTAGTCAACATTTTAAAAAACACACACACGCACACAAACGAATTGTTTAGTCTATGCCAGAAACTGAGTTAGATGCTAGAAACTCAATGGAGTGCAAAAATAGATTGGGGGGCTCTTGGACATCCTGTCTGAGGGGCTTTTGATAAATTTAAGCCCAGATGCTAGTTTGATTTCCTCTAGTTTCCTGCTTTAATTCTTCAAATGGCTTTCTTTTGTCCTTGGGATTAAGTTAATTGTGTAACAGTTTATAAGTCCAATGCTTCTCTCAGCTGGCTACCACCTCCCACACCCTGTCTGTTCTTTCTCTAGACAAACACTGCCTGAACTTTTTTCAGTGAAACATACCACATATAAAAAGAGCATGTGACATGAATATACAGAGTCTGCCCCAGAAAAGAAAAGAAAAGAAAAGAAAAGAAAAACTTGTATAAATATTTCTAAATTTAGTGAGACATCATGAAATTACTAGGTTACTTGTAGCTTCTACAATTATAAGAGGGGCTTCAAAGTGGTGACCATTAGCTTCCAGACATTTATTAGTATAGCGAATCTCTGAAGTGTGTATACATTTTTTGGGCAGACTCTGTATATATACTTTAAATAATTATAAAACTTGCATGCTCTAGGTGTGGTGGCACATGCCTGTAATTCCAGCACTCAGGAGGCTGAGGAGGCAGGAGGATTGCTGTGAGTTCGAGACCAGCCTGGGCTACATAGTGAGTTCCAGGTCAGTCTCAACTACATAGTGAGACCCTGTCTCAAAAAACCAAAAAAAAAAAAAAAAAAAAAAAAAAAA